TGAAAGCCTACTCACCTTTCACCTTTTAATCCTCTTTTAATTCCCTTATTTGGACTTAATCTACCCAGCTTTTCCTGTGTTTCGGATGCACTTTACTATGATAAAGGCAGGATGTATGTATGTTGTCTGTTCCTGTCTCCTTCCCTCATTAAATTGCAAACTTCTTAAGAGTTGGGATCATTATTTGTTTTTGCCACCAGTCCTAACATGAAGTCTCACAAATGGGAAGTGCTTAACAAGTGAGGTTTGAATCTACCACAACTCTGGCATCACTCTCGTGTTGTTGTGGTAACCCTATCAAAACAGGAAATGAGGTTAGTTTAGGATGATTTGTTCATAATTGACTCATTCTGGTTCCCCTTTCTTTCCTGAGTGGTCACAAAACATGTTAAATAATCTCCAGAATTTTGTGGGCTTCTACTTTCACATTTACTGGTCAAATACATTTCTGGAATCTGTTACCACCCACCCATGCCTGGGAATATATCCAAGGAACCCTGGTTCCTTTTCTGAGTGCTCCCTGAAGAAATAATTGATATAGAATGCTATATATACTGCACATATTTAAAGTATACAGTTTGACATATGAAATTGTCCCCATGAAATTGTCAACACAATAAAATCGTTAACACAATAAAAATAATAAACATACTCATCACCTCCAAAACTTATCTAGTTTCAATTTATGTGTCCCTCCCACCAGCCCCAGGCAATTCTGTTGGTCTACTTTCTAACCCCATAGATTATTTTGCATTTTATATGAATGCAAGTAATTTTCTTTTGGTCTGGTTTCTCTCAGTACAATTATGTTAAGATTCATCTGTGTTTATATTAGTATATTCTCCTTGAGCCCTTCCCATTCATCATACAGGGATGAGTTAGGAAACTCTTCATTCTCCTAATCTTGAGCAATTTATTTAACCTTGAGTTTTTATTTTTGAAAATATCAAGTTTATCAGCTAAAAGAGACATACGAATATCTAAAATTGATCCACCCAAAGACTGTATAGTCACAGATTGGATTAAGATCCCAAACTGCAACCTTAAGTTGTTTACAGAATTCACATTTAACCCATAAGCGTTGGTAGACACAAACGGTGGACCCTCCCACACGCCACACACAACTATTAAAAAAATGTTTTCCCTAAGTGGCCCTGACCAACATTAAAGTCATTTTTCATGAGAATTTTCAGCTGAAATTTTTCAGCTATGAGTAATATATTTATTTTTATAATATTCATTGCAAATTGATTTTTTAAGTTAAATTCAAAATATTGTGGTGTGTGAGGGTGGTTTCCGTTTGGATGCGTGGCAGTAACTGATTAAAGCAAAGCTGTAGCATATATAGCAATAGTTGGGAAAAGGGAGACAAGCAAGGATTAAATTCTTAGAGAAAAAAAAGGAAAATGGGGTTGATAATACCAAAGTGATTTTAAAACTAACACTATTGCTCTACTCAGTTTGGCTCAGTGGATAGGGTGTCACCCCGAGGACTAAAAGGGTCTCAGATTTTATTCCAGTCAAGGGCACATATGGGAAGCAACTAATTGATGTGTCTCTCTCACATCAGTGTTTCTCACTCTCTCTTCTCTTCCCTCCCATTCTCTCCAAAAATCAACGAAAAATGTCCTTGGGTGAGGATTAGTAACAAAAAGCTAACACATATTAAGAGACACCAAATAATCCATGGTAAAAGGTATACTGATAAAATATATTTGTTAATTATCAGAACAATCCTTCTATATAATAAAGAGGTAATATGCAAACTGACCCTCATGCCATCACAAAATGGCTGCCTATGACCAGGCTGGCAGGGGGGTTAGTGAGGGATGACCAAATGACTGAATAGCAGGCTGCGTGGGGCAACCAGGGTGGCATTGGGAGGGGGCGGGGGACAGTTGGGAGGTGATCAGGTCAGCAGGGGGGAGCAGTTAGGGGCGACCAGGCAGGCAGGCAGGTGAGTGATTAGGAGCCAGTGGTCCAGGATTATGAGAGGAATGTCTGACAGCTGGTTGAGGCCCGATTCTGGCAGTCAGACATCCCCCAAGGGGTCCCAGGTTGGAGAGGGTGCGGGCTGGGCTGAGGGGTTCCCCACCCCCCATGCACAAATTTTGTACACTAGGCCTCTAGTAAATATATAAAACAAAAGTGAGAAATCCAAGGAGAATTGAGCAAATACAGAGTATTGTGGAAGAGTGTAAACTGTTTGCGATTGGTTCTACAACAGATTGTGTAATCCAAAAAGACAGCAAAATGGAATAGGACAGACAAGAACAGACCCAATTTCATAGATAGGGCCACACCTTCTTTTCAAGTGGGAACTAAATGAGAATGATCTCATATCTTCTCGCTTAAAACAGAAAGTGTTGATGCAATTGGAGGAGCACACTAACCATAAAACCCTCCCCTTAACAGTCCTGTTCTTTTTTTCTTTTTTTCTTTTTTTTTTTTTTATAAAATATATTTTATTGATTTTGTACAGAGAGAAAGGGAGAGAGATAGAGAGCTAGAAACATCTATGAGAGAGAGTCATCAATCAGCTGCCTCCTGCACACCCCCTACTGGGGATATGCCCGCAACCAAGGTACATGCCCTTGACCGGAACCAAACCCGGGACCCCTCAGTCCCCAAGCCTTCGCTCTATCCATTGAGTCAAACTGGTCCCGGGACAGTCCTGTTCTTGAAAGCAAATGTATAGCCAAGGTCATGCCTGACTACCATGTTTCAGTAAAACTAGAATTTTACATGTTGAGTTTAAACCAGTATTTTATAGCTATTTTAACCTGTATTCCCTTTTGTTAAATTTAAGCTCTTTCTATGATTTGAATTACCCTAAAAGAGTTTTAATTTCTAAAAATATTTATTCCCTTGCCTAGCTGGTTTGGCTCAGTGGATAGTGTCAGACTGAAGGATCCTGGATTTGATTTGAGTCAGGGGCACATGCCTGGTTCGCAGGCTTGATCCTGGTGGGGGATGTGTAGGAGGCAGCTGATCAGTGATGAATCATTGACGTTTCTATCTTTCTCCCTCTCCCTTCCTCTCTGAAATCAATAAAAATGTGTTGTTGTTTTTTATATTTCTTTGCCCTAGCCAGTTTGGCTCAGTGGATAGAGCATCGGCCTATGGACTGAAGGGTCCTGGATTCAATTCCGGTCAAAGGCATGTTACCTTGGTTGCAAGCTTTTCCCTGGCCAGTGCCCTGGTCGGGGCTCATGCAAGAGGAATTCAGTCAGTGTGTTTCTCTTACATTGATATTTCTCTCTACCTTTCCCTCTCTCTTAAGGAATAATAAAATAAAATACAAAATAATAAAATAAAATGTATTCCCAATATTGAGTAAGCTTGCTTAATATAATATATCCCTTTGCCTTTCTACCTTCAAATAAGTGGTTTAGGTCTTCATTCAGCAAACCAAGGCAAAGTAAGATTTGAGTAATGCTTCTTGTATTTAAGGAAATAGCTTTCTAAGTGTGGGGGGACCTTTGTGCACTGTATTAATGGTACTGTGGGAGAGTTGAAGCTGGTAAGATAAGGTTCTCCTACAGCACAGTTTTGTGATAGTCAGACAAATGCATCAAATAATTGTCTGAATAAATAGACATAAATATCATTATAAAAGCACAGACATGAAATAAACTTATTTTACTGTTTTATATTTCTAGCACCTACCCTGAAGAAATAAGAAGTAACGTCTTACTGCCTGTCAGTGTTATTACATTGCTTCAATTGATGGGCCAGATGTTGATATTAATATGAAAAGTTCTTGCAGAAAAGAATACTGATCGTACAGATAGTAGTAGTAATATTCAAGATTCAAATTTATCATAAAATTAAATATATAGTTATAATTGCTTTTGCTTGGATTTTTAGTAGGTCAGACCTTAATGACAACTTGGAAAGAACTGAGCCTTTTTGAAGTGGGCTATGAAAGTATTTTCTGAAAAATATTTTATAGGTTTTGTTATAAGACTAACCAAATATCTTGGTTAAGCCGGGACCGGTTTGGCCAATGGATAGAGCGTCGGCTTGGGGACTGAAAGGTCCCGGGTTTGATTCCGGTCAAGGGCATGTACCCTGGTTGCGGGCATATCCCCAGTGGGGGGTGTGCAAGAGGCAGCTGATCGATGACTCTCTCTCATCTATGTTTCTGACTCTCTATCTCTCTCCCTTCCTCTCTGTACAAAATCAATAAAATATATCAAATATCTTGGTTAAATTTCTTCTGGGGGGAGAGAAAGAGTCATGTCATTTTGATAAAAAGCATTCAAGGTATGTCCCCTTGGGTCTATTTTCATTAGGAATGAAGATGTAGTTGATGGTCATGTGAATGTTTCGGCTGATTCAGAGGAATCTGAAATGACAGTAGGAAGTTTTGGAGGCAGAAATGATTACTCTTACCAGAATGTGGTTGCTGTTAAAACAGTGAGAAAGCCCTGGCTGGTTTGTTCAATGGTTAGAGCATTGGCCTGCTCATTGAAGGGTCATAGGTTTGATTCCTCTTCAAGGGCATGTACCTGGGTTGCAGGTTTGATCCCCAGCCTGGAATGTGTGGTAGGCAACCACAATCAATTTCAATCAATCATCTCCCTCTCTCCCTCTCCATCCCCCTCCCCTCCTTCTCCTTCTCTTCCCTCACTCCCTTTTTTCTTCCTTCCCTCCCTAAAATCAATGGGAAAATATCTTTGGGTCAGGATTAACAAAACAAAAAAACAGTGGGACATGTTTGTGTGTGTGTCATAAACCCATGTTGCAGGTTTATAAAAATGGACATCCACAGTTACCAGGGCCAGGCCAGGCCCTCTTTTCCCTTTTTCTAGCTGCATCTTCCATAGTTTGGGGCTTTTTGTGCATAAATACATGCTGCCTTCACATGTATTAAACAAATATTTAACCAGAGTGTTAAACATTTAATACTTTACCAGTTTGCATTCTTTCTAGGAGGATATTCTGAGAAGTTTTTTTAATGCTATCTCTTACCCCCTCCTTTTCCTTTTTTTTAGCTCTGCTTATGATAATGTCAACAAAGTTCGAGTAGCTATCAAGAAAATCAGTCCTTTTGAGCACCAGACCTACTGCCAGAGAACCCTGAGGGAGATAAAAATTCTACTGCGCTTCAGACACGAGAACATCATTGGAATCAATGACATTATTCGAGCGCCAACCATCGAGCAAATGAAAGATGTGTATCCTTTGCAGGCATTGGGCTCCACTACTTGGTACCTTGTTGAGTAAATGTAATTTTAAATGTCCTGGACTTATCAGATTAAAGAAAAATTATATAGAGCTCATTTAAAGGGAAATTGTAATATGTTTGCAATTTACTGTAACACTTGCATTATATAAATTTTTCCTCCGATGCATTTTATCCATTCTCTTTTTAGTGTCTTTTGACAAATTCACTGTTTTTTCTTGTCACTTTCAGAAAATATTTCCTTTAAGTGTAGTTATGGAAAATCTTGGATAATAACCATTTCTAGTCATGCTTTCTTCATTAAAGATATAATTTGTTAAGACAATGAAACAGAAAAGAAAGAGTTGTAGACAAAGAGAGGGTACTCTGGATATCTATCACCTGGTCAAATCCAGATAGTCCTAATCTTAGACAAGGCATTTTACCTTTGGGTCTCTGTTTTCTCATCATTAAAATTAATGTTCCAGCCCCTCATGATGTTTAAGGTGACTCTCCTCTGAAATTATGTAATTAACTAGGACTAACATTTAGAAATCTGGACTAAGGAGGTCCAGAGGATGTTACCTGGGCAAAGACTACATTTGGAAGATAAAGGCATTAAATATAGTGAAGAGAATCTGCCAGAAAACTTACAGTTTCAGCTAGTGCAGGATTCCTACCAGCTTGCCTAATTTGCATTCTGCCCCTCCAGGGAGAGGTAGCTCACTATCTCTAGGCAGCCCTTTCCATTTTTAAATAGCTCTGTTACTAAGTTGTAGGATATTTTAAGTGAAATACCTTCTGCTCCTACCAACTGTTATCCTATTTTACCTTTTGCCATAAAAATCAAATCTCTTTCTGATGACAAATTTGCAAGTAGGTTTCATTTTAATCCCATGTCGTGTTTCATCTAGTAGTAATCTGTAGGAGACATACATTAATTTGAACACAAAATGAATAAAGGAAAGGCAAAATAGCCCTAGCCGGTTTGTCTCAGTGGATAGAGAGCATCAGCCTTTGGACCAAAGGGTCCTGGGTTCGATTCGGTCAAGGACATGTACTTCCAGCCTAGACCCTGGTCGGGGCTCATTCAGAGGTAACCAGTCAATATGTTTCTCTCGCATCGGTGTTTCTCTCTGTCTTTCCCTTTCTCTTCGACTCTCCCTAAAAATCAATGGAAAAATAGCCTTGTGAGAGGATTAACAACAAATAAAAAATAAAATAAATGGCAAAATAATTACTACTGAAATTATATTATGGTGAAGTTAAAAGCTAAAGGCTTGCCTTAGTATTTCTCACTGGTTAAGATGTCATCCTGGATCTCGGTTCTATCCCCTGTACCAGTTGGGACATGTGCAAGAGGTAACTAACCTATGTCTCTCACATCGATATTTTCTTTCTCTCTCTCTTTCTCTCCCTCTTTCTCTCACTCCCCTTCCATCCCTCCTTTCTACTCTCTAAAAAGCAATGGAAAAAATATCCTCAGGTGAGGATTAATAAACAACAACAAAAAAAGCTAAAGGTTTGTATAGCTTCTATTTCTGTAGAGAATTTAACCATAGCTAAAGTTATAGATGCTAGATACATAACAAGAAAGCAAGAGAAGCAAAACTAGCACAAGCTCTTTCTTGGTATGACTTTCTCATAGTCTTATTTATTTAGGATCTTAACATTAATTTGAAAAGTCAAGTAGATAGCCGAAACAGGTTTGGCTCAGTGGATAGAGCGTCAGCCTGTGGACTGAAAGGTCCCAGGTTTGATTCTGGTCAAAGGTATGTACCTTGATTGCATGTACCAGTAGGGGTGTGCAGGAGGCAGCTTATTGATGTTTCTCTCTCATCTAGCTCTCTATCCCTCTTCCTTCCTCTCTGTAAGAAAATCAATAAAATATATTTTAAAAAGAAAGTCAAGTAGATAGACTGAGGGTTGAATTTAATAGCAGTATGTTTTAGGCCTGTATTTCCAAAAGTTTTATGATTGATTTTTGAGGAGAAGGGAACAAGAAAGGTAGTAAAAGAACAGTTACATTACAAGTTGTTGCTGGGCCAAAGAAAGGAGTGTATGATGCTTGCTGGTCACTACCTTCGCTCAGCTCTTTTCAACAAGTGTTGGAGGGGCTTTTTGATATTGGACAATTCAGAGACCCAGGAAGGTTAGGATTTCAAGAATGGCAAATATTTCCGTAACAGCCTATTTCAAGTCTTAATGTAGGCAAATAGTAGGTCATTATCAAGCAAATATAATGCCGTTTGTTTCATAGGATCTAAAAAAGAGTTAACTACTTCAGATTCCATCCATAAAGGAATACTAAGTTTTCATCAGTTTCTCATTTCCCTCATGGTCTTCATGATGTAATAATGAACTTCTTGGGTAAGGTTTCATTTGTTTTCAGTGCTTTGCTAAGTGTGACCAGCTGTTGGGTGTGTTACCTTAACCTGTCCAAACAGATATATAGTACAGGACCTCATGGAAACAGATCTCTACAAGCTCTTGAAGACACAACACCTCAGCAACGACCATATCTGCTATTTTCTTTACCAGATCCTCAGAGGGTTAAAATATATCCATTCAGCTAACGTACTGCATCGTGACCTCAAACCTTCCAACCTGCTGCTCAACACCACCTGTGATCTCAAGGTCAGGCAGGTTCTTTACTTTTAGGATGATACATAGTGAAAAAACTTTTACTGGGCATGTTTTTATTTATTGTTACTCATATTTAAAATTAAACCAGAAATATGTGAAAACATTTTTATGGCAAAAAAAAATAAAAATTTAAGAGTGCTAGTTCTCATCTTTTCCATCCCATTGTTTCTTCCTCTTTAGAGGTAACCACTATAACAGATTGGTGTATTTTCTTCCAAAGTTTTTTCTATGCTCTTACATAATGTGTACTTTTTTTAAAAAAAATAGATGTTTCTTGGTTTTTAAAGAGAGAGAAAGGGAGAGAGATAGAAACATAAATGAGAGAAAAGCATCATCTATTGGTTGCCTCCTTCACAATTTGTACTGGAGATCAAGCCCGCAACCTGGGCATATGCCCTGGCAGGTAATCAAACTGTGACCGACCCCTTGGTTCCTAGGTTGATGTTGAACCACTGAGCCACAAGGGCCGGGCCATAATCTGTACTTTTATACTTATACTAGAGGCCCAGTGCATGAAATTTGCGCACTCGGTGAGGGGGGACCCCTCAGGTGAGCATGTGCCCTCTTGCAGTCCAGGAGCCCTTGGGAGATGTCCAACTGCCGGCTTAGGCCTGGGAGCGGCCACAGGCAGAGAGGCTATCACCACTGCGCTCACCAGCCATGAGCCCGGTTTCTGGCTGAGGGGCGCTCCCCCTGTGGGAGTGCACTGATCACCAGGGGGCAGCTCCTGCATTGAGCTTCTGCTCTAGTGGTCAGTGTGTATCTTAGTGACCAGTTATTTCTGTTCCTCCATTTGGTCAGTTTGCATGTTAGGCTTTTATTATATAGGAGGATATAAAACTAGGATCATGTGCATTATGTGTAAGTTAACATAATCATCTAAAGAATACTCAGGAAACCTCAATGACTTTAATATCCAAATAAGGCATTTCCAGTAAGCAGGAAAACTCTAGATTCTTTACAGTCCTTAGAATTCTCTTGAATATGGGCTATATATACTTATATTTATATTTTAATAGGTAGTTAAGCTAAATAAGTAGGGAAATCTACAGATGTTTTAGGTAAGAAGAAGGAATGTGGATTCAGTCTGACAAAAATTAATGTGCATTCAAGAAAACCTAGAGCCTGTTGGCATGGCTCAGTGGTTAAGTGTCGGCCTATGAATCAGGAGGTCACAGTTCAATTCCCGGTCAGGACACATGCCTGCCGAGGTTACAGACTCAATCCTGTGCAGGAGGCAGCTTTTGGTGGTTCTTGGTCATTGTTGATGTTTCTATTTCTCCTTCTCCCTTTCTCTCTGAAATCAATACAAATATTTTTTAAAAAGAAGAAGGCCTAGATACTCTCAGGCAGACTCCTGGGTTCTGTGCTGGCAGCAGCAGGGTTGGACGTGGTACTGGGCCTGGACAAGTGTGTGAGCAGGCAATGGAGCTGCTATTCAGCAAGGTGGAGTTGGGTGTGTCATAGGCCTTTCTTACCTGACCTTGTGGCCCACTAGTTGGCGCTGCTGCACCTGGGCTACATTGAATGCATCGCAAGCTGTGCTGCCCTTGCACACAGCGCCACTGCTGACCATGACTGGTCTGCATGCCATGCCCACGACCCTGTCACCTTCGTGGACTGTATGTGCACCTTCCATGAAAGGCAGACAAGCTGGACTGCCTGCAGGTCGATTCAGCCAAGTACCTCTGCCTCAAGGCCATCACGCTGTTCACACCCAATGCTGTGGGCCTCTCAGACCCAGTGCACATGGAAAACCTTCTGGAGAAGGCTCAGGTGGTCCTCACTGAGTACATGCAGGCCCAGTACCTATCCCAGCCCTGATGCTCTATCGGCACCTGTTGCTCTTGCGCATTGTCACTGTCTCCCTTCTGTTCTTCATACATCTGGTGGATAAGACTGATCCAAAATATGCTGCTATTCGAAAGGATGTACCTTTAGTTGATCCTGTAAGCTCCAGCCAGTAGTTGGACAGGACATTGGGGCACCATGGCCTGCTCTGAAGAATTCAGGAAACATAGCTGCTTGGGCCTCAAGAGGATTCTCCAAACCATAGACCCCAGCTTCTCTTCTCATACTCCTTTTTTTTTTTTTTAACTGTGAAAAGGTTGTCTTTTTTGTTTTTTAAGTGATTATGAAACCAATGACTGATCATCCAAGCTCCTGCCTTGTCTTCCCCAAAACCCTAGCCAAGATGGAGAGACTGATGTTCTAATCCTAGGACATTCTTACACAATCCTGGGACAGTCTTGACCCTCAGCACTCCAGAAACTCCTGGGAAGGGAGGGTTTGCTTCCCTGATATGATGGACAGAAGCCTGGCATCTGGACTGGAAGGGCAAGCCACAGCCAGGAAAGATCGCTGCAGCTCCGCTGGGCATGGGATACATGCTGTACACTACATGATGAATGAATTAAGGCTAATAATAAGATGTTTCCTACCTGCTGAAAAATAAGATAAATGGAAAGATATACCATATTCATAAATTGGAAAACTTTCTATTTTTAGGATATTAATATTCCCCAAATTGATCTATAGATTTAATGCAGTACCTATCAAAGTCCCAGTTGGCTTTTGTGCAGAAAAGAACAGGTTGTTCCTGAAATGCATGTGGAAATTCAACAGATCCAGAATAACAAAAACAACCTTACAAAAGAATAAAATTGAAAGGCACTTTCTGATTTCAAGCCTTACTAAAAAGAAAGGGTAATATAAAAAAGTGTGATGTTGGCGTAAGAGTAGTCATATACATCAGTGGAATAGAATTGAGAGTCAGTAAATAAACAGATAGATTTATGATCAACTGATTTTCGACAAGAATTCTAAGGTCATTTATTTCGACAAATGGTCCTGGAGCAATTGGATAGCCATACGCAAAAGAATGAGATTGGGCCCCACCTCACATCATGTTCAAAAATTAACTAAAAATGGATCAAAGACCTAAATTTAAGAGCTACAACTAGAATATATTTAGAAAACATAGAAGTAAGTCTTTGTAATTTTGCATTAGGCAGAAGTTCTTAGACATTGGCACCGAAAGCACAAGCAACAAAAGAAAAAAATGAATTTCATCAAGATTAGGAACTTGTGCTTGGCTGTGTGGCTCAGTTGATTAAGCATTGTCCCAGGCACAGTAAGGGTGCCGGTTTCATTCCCAGCGAGGGCACAAACCCTCGTTGTGGGTTTAGTCCCCAGTTGGGGTGCGTACAAGAGGTAATCAAATCGATGTTTTTCTCTTTCCCTCTCTTTCTAAAATGAATAAAGCCATAATAATAATTTTAAAAAAAAAGATTAGGAACTTGTGCTACAAAGTAAACTGTCAAAAAAGTAAAAAGACAACCCACAAAATGAGAGAAAATGTTTGTAAATCTTGTATTTCAATAAGACATAACCTGAACTACATGTATTATAGCATAGTGATATGTTCAGTTGTCCTTCCTAATGAAGGAAAGCTACTAATTCCAATTTTAATTTTTCTTTCTTCCTCAATATGCCACTTTGAACAGTCATTTTATTAATAAGATTATTAATTTAATATTTTAGTCTGGTAACTTTTACCCTGATTTTTATTTTTATATATTTTTTTCTATACTGAGCACCTGTTTTTGTTTGTTTATTGTTTTACTTTTTTTTAATTATTAAATCTTTATTTTTTTAAATTTCTTTATTGATTAAGGTATCGCATATTTGTCATCGTCCCCCCCCCATTCCCATCCCAAACCCCTCCCCACGCATACCCTTACTCCCCTGTTGCCCATGATCACTGGGTAGGCTCATATGCATACACACAAGTCCTTGGTTGCTCTCTCTCCCTTATCCCCACCCTCCCCTGCTTCCCGCTGAGGTCCGACAGTCTGATCGATGCTGTTCTTGTTCATTGGTATGTGTTGTTCATCATTTCCCCTAGATGAGTGAGCTCACGTAATACTAGACATACACTTATAAGAACCAAAAATGAGACAAGCAATAATGGTTATGCTGAGAGGCAAATAAATCAGTCTATAGTGAGTTTCTTTCTGGGTAAACAGTTTTTTTGAGTCCCAATTTCTATGTCAAACAGTCCCTTCTGTGTACATGTCAGCAATGATATTTCAGTTCTGGATGGTGGGCAAATGATAGTAATGCAGTCCAACCCTCTCTGGCTTGGTCCTGGGTAACCTGCAGTAACACACAGCTGCTGACTGCTAGTATGGCAAGGCATCGTCAACATCTTCCATCTCTGGACTGTTTCTCTTCTGTCTTCATGGCTGGAGCACTCCTATCAATTCCTCTCTGTTGCAGGAATCCCCATGGTCTCGGAGTTGTTTTCTGAAAATATACAAACATATTCTCAACCAAAATTTAATAAAGGAATCTTTTCTATAAATTTGACTTGCGATCCTTTTTCATTTTTTGCCCAAATGATTTTCCTTTGGCTTGTTTTGACACCATGTATGTTTTGCATGGGTGTCCTGTGCTGTCAAGCGGCGCACCTTTGGAGGTAGAGGTCCCAGGGTCTGCGGGTTTGCAGCTGGGGTGACGGGTCTTCTACCAGAGCAGCTGTCATGTCCTGGTTTGCTTCTGAGACTAGACTGGGTAGTGTCGAGGCTAGGATTCTAGTCTCAAGCAGTTCTGTTCTTCAAGATGGCATGGTCTCAGTGCCGCTGGTGTCCTCCCCGGAGTGTGTGCAGCGGCCGCGGGGTTTTGCCGTCTAAGACTTCCCGGATTGGAAGCTCCCTGTTAGAACTGCAGGGTCTAATTGTCCCTATTTCACTCACACTCACACCCACACACGTCCACACATACCTCTATCACTCCCTCACTTGCTCACACACCCTCCCTCCTTACCTTCCTGCTTGTCCCCATCTTTTTTTCCCTTTGTTTTACTTTTTGAGTCACCTTGATGTTTATTTTTAAGAGCTTGTTAGTAATTCCATTATTGTGAAAATACAGGAAATCCTCGCTTAATGTCATTGATGGCTTCTTCAAATTTATGCAAAATGACATGTAATGAAACCAGCTTTACCATAGTCTAATTGATATATGCAAGAGTTAAATTTTTTATCAACATTATAACAAAATGATGTTGTTCAAGACCTGCTGAAATAGAATGTCTTTCAATTAATTCACCCCAGTTGTTACACTTCTTAAAACATTTAAAGCAAGGCATTTGTTCATCAAATGTTGAGAGCTCACTATGTATAGGACATTTAGGAATAAAAAGGAAGTCAAGTATTGCCTTTTTCTAGCAACTTACATTTTTGCTTGGGAGACAGGGATATGCACAACGATTATGGTTGTGCACTTACATATAATAAATGTCTAACAAAACATTAGAAGAGTTCAGAAAAGTGAGCAATTCTTGGAAGTGATGCTGACTCCTGGGAAACTTCTCAGAAGAATAACTTTCAAGCTGGGTATTTAGGGTAGGAATGGCATAGGTAGGGCACACAGTGGAAAGGGCATCACATGGTCAGTATGGTCTGGAGTAAATAGGAGCAGGTCTGAGACAAAGATGTCAGTGGGAGAGACGAGATAAAGACAGTGAATGGCCTTGAAAGTCATGCTTAAAGAATATGGGCTCCATTCAGTAGGCAAAGGTTGAAAGGTTTTTGAGCCAGAGAGGTGACTTACATTTTGGAAATGACACTTGGGTAAGATTTAGAGGATGAATTAGATTGTAGGCAGGGAGACTAGCTATTGCTAAGTCCAGAGGAGTGTGTTGACACTTATAACCTCATTGGTCTGTGAACTTCTTTTCTGGTTTAAAAAAAAATATCTATTTGGGATTTGTTTTGTAATTCAACAGACCCACGGAAAGCTGTGTATCAATTCTAGATCCATCCAGTCTGATGCTGGTGTAGTATCTGTGGTCATGATCTCAGACTTATGCTAGTTTTTTGCTGCTGACAAGATGCAGTATTTCTTTGCACAATTCAGAATGTGGTTTCAGGTATCCAGTTACACTACAAAAGCCAGGCTGAGTTAGAAGATAAAGTGTTAGCTCTAAAAAAGAGAAACGATGGGTCACAGATGTATTAAGAAGTTCAAGCCACACAGACTTGAAATGGGTCGGTGGTAGTCCAGCATGGTAGGTGAGGACACTGAATAGCATAGAGGACTCCTTCATATGTAAGAAGAAATCAGTCATTCATTGCTTCTCTAAGTTGGAAATCATGCCAAATGGGATCATGTTGCTAGTAAACCTCATGTTGCTTCCTGCAACGCATTTCAGAGGTATTGGTAGAAAAGTCTCTACAAGAAACTAATAGGGTGCAGCAGGTACAACATGAAAGTCTCAAAAGAAGTCAGGTCAAAGTTAAAACTTACGATCCCCTTAAACTCTTATGGCCATATATCAGTCAACTAGATACTTGTGAGAATGAAATAAGAATGTGTATGTAGGATTCCCAGCAAAGTACCTGCCACGTAGTATTAATAATAGTAGTAACTATTTATTACTGATATTATTGCTGTTGTCTATTTTATGATATTTTAATATTAAATTGGTTAAGAATCTCTAAGGTGTCCATTTTTTCTCTCTCTCTCTCTCAGATCTGTGATTTTGGCTTGGCCCGAGTTGCAGATCCAGACCATGATCACACAGGGTTCCTGACAGAATATGTAGCCACGCGTTGGTACAGGGCTCCAGAAATTATGTTGAATTCCAAGGTAAGGAGCAAGTTTGCATATAAAGAAAATAAGCCTCCCTCTCAATACACCTGTCTCCACTTGGGTTCAGTCTTGGCCTGTTTGGGCAGAACCAAGGTGCTGTCCTAATCTTCTGTCCAGCATTGAACTCTGGGCCCTGGATTTTGGCCTCAGCTGGAGTAGTGCTGACATGTTGCAGAGTTGGAGAGAGTGCCTCTCTGGTCACTGTTAAAATAAATGGTCTTTGTCCTTGCCTAGCTTTACTGATGTTTCACCTGTCACAGCTTTTTGTTGTTGTTAGTCCTCACCTGAGGATATTTTCCCATTGATTTTTAGGGAGAGTGGAAGAGAGAAGGAAAGACAGAGAAACATTGATGTGAGAGAAAAAGATTGATTGGTTGCCTCCTGTGTGAGCCCCGACCAGGGTCCATGCCGGGGAGGAGCCTGCAATCAAGGTATGTGCCCTTGACTGAAATTGAACCCAGGACCCTTCAGTCCACAGGCTGATGCTCTATCCACTGAGCCAAACCAGCTAGGGCTGTGACAGCTTTTACAACTGCTGCTGCCACTGCTGGATGTAGGCTGGGTTGGTGTTAGAGGTTATCAGATTTAGCTGATTATAATATAATTTGGAGAAAACATAGGTGTGGAAAGAATAAGAACTGCTATGGATTCTTTAGAATTATATGATATGATAATCCTGTTTCCAAATGACATGTGTTCCTCTGATCTCCAAGTGGCTGTGAAAGTGCATCCAATTCGCAGGCAAACTCTTCTTATAAGTCTGAATCTTGGTCAGAAAAAAATAATTGAATAAATACATATAATAAAAGCAGGAAAAAGGGAAGTATACCTTTGTTAGGCTTATGAAACAGGTGGCAAGCATTGAGAGCTTCTGTGGAATTAGATTCATGGGGTAGCGGGGGTTGTGGGATTTTTTATTGATTTCATAGAGTGGAAAGAAGAGGGAGAGAGGGATAGAAACATCAATGATGAGAGAATCACTGATCGCTGTCTTCTGCATGCCCCCTATTGGGGATTGAGCCCACAACCTGGGCATTTGCTCTGACTGGTAATTGAACCGTTGACCGCCTGGTTCATGGCAGTGCTCAAGCACAGAGCCACACTGGCTGGGCTTCAGCTTGACTTTTTAAAAAATGATTTGCAAAATGGGTAAAAATATTCCGGAAGTATAATAGTGCCCCTTCTTTTGAGTTAGTTTCCAGGTTTCCAAAATGAGTTAATAGGTTACAAATTTTCTAAACTAATAGGGTGATTGCTTTTTCTTATTTCTAGCTTCAATTTCTAAGGATGCGAATTTTCTCTCTCAAATTATTTGAAAAGAATGAAGTATACTTTGGAAATTCTTATTTCATAATATCATAATCAACTTTGAAGATCAATAGGATTAAGTAGTCTTGGTTGCTCAACATCCTTTAAGAAAACAAAATTATTATTAGTTTCTCTATCTTTTTTTTTTTTTTTTCACTGCCTTATTTTTTTTATTCATAAAGTGGGTGATATTTAGGATATAATTCATTATCTAAACTTGGAACCTCTTGAGAGAAGAGGAAGGTGCTAGAAATATATACACTGAGTAGCCAGATTATTATGATCTCTGAGTGCATAATAATATGGCCACTCAGTGTGTGTGTGTGTGTATTTGTATACACTGAGTAGCCAGATTACCATGATCTCTGAACGCATAATAATCTGGTCACTCAGTGCATACACACCAAGTATAAATCAGGATTTAGATGTCTAAGAAAACTGATTCTTGCCTACTTACATATTATTCACCTTATGAATAGGTAATATTGACCCTCTTCTGGTGTTCACTAGTTGAAATACAAGCCTCAACACGAATGAAGATTAAGTCCCAAAATGCTTTTGTTATAAATTATATAGTTTTTCCATAGAGGACATATGATGTGAAATAGTCACTGAGTCAGCTCCTTATTTCAGCCCTCTCTATCTTTTTTTATTTTATTTATTTTTGAATTATAGAATCAAAAGAGAGGCTAAAACTCCTAGTAACCTGTCATGTAAGAAGATCTCATTTAGACTTATAATGCCAGATAACATTTTCTCTTTTCTCCCTTTCTATTGCAGGGCTATACCAAGTCCATTGATATTTGGTCTGTAGGCTGCATTCTGGCAGAGATGCTCTCCAACAGGCCCATCTTCCCAGGGAAGCATTACCTTGACCAGCTGAACCACATTCTGGGTAAGAGCTCATTTGGGACTAGATTTATTCATTTCATTAGTTTATATCAGCATCATTTCATTAAATTAAGAATTTTAACAGCTCTTTAACCTATGACAGACATGAGTTTTTAATGTCATTGATTCAAAATGATAAGGATCCTTGTGAAAAAAAAAACTTGTTAATAAGATAGGTAAGCAATGGCAGGTGGTGTAAGAAGACATTAATTATCAAGGCCCATTCTGCCCTTCAGCTGATGGTGTGTGGTCAGTTTACTTTGGTCTCAATAATTAACAGGTAATTATTTTATCTAATAGGTATTCTTGGATCCCCATCACAGGAAGACCTGAACTGCATAATCAATCTAAAAGCTAGAAACTATTTGCTTTCTCTCCCACACAAAAATAAGGTGCCATGGAACAGGCTGTTCCCAAATGCTGATTCCAAAGGTAAATATTTTATTGATTATTTTTCTTAGGTTTAGTTTCTTGTTTTTGTGTGTGTTTTATTTATTAAATCATGAGGTCACTAGCCTGTAAAGTTAGCTTATAATTACTGGATAATGCCTATTTGTTGCTCTCAGGCTTCCCTCTGTTTTCTTACTCTTTCCTATAGACATGTTTTATATAAGAATATTTATAAGGCCTTTTTTTTAAAGCTGATTTTCCTTATGTTATGGTTATAAACTTCTGAGATTGGTTTGTTCAGATAATAATTTACACCACTAAAATTCAGAAAATTAATGTTGAAATGCAGGTTTTGGATTACTACAATGAAGCAGGGAAAGACTACAAATAGAATAAAGTGGTGATAAGAAGTTGTCAATGCTAGAGTAAACAGTACAGCATCTTGTGTTAAGAGAACAGGCTTTGCAGCCTGTGGGTTCAATCCATAGCTCAGCAATTTAACTAGCTATCTGAACTTTGGACTGAGACTCTGAGACTCAGTTTTCCCATTTATAAAATAGGATTAGTAATAGTACCTGTATTATATTAGTAATAGGGTTGTGCAAATATCTAGACCACTGGCATTTGTAGAGTTGTTTCAAGTTCACAGCAAAATTGAGGGAGAGAGATTTTCCACATACCTCTCTCCTTTGCCCCCCACATGCCTAGCCTCCCCCATTATCCACATCCCCTAATGGGACAGTACATTTGTTACAATTGATGAACCTACAATAACACATCTTAAGTGTGCAAAGTCCATAGTTTACATTATGTTTCATTCTTGGTGTTGTACTCTCCATGGGTTTGATCAAATGTATTATGACATATCCATCATTAAATGGAAGTACTTTTTTTTTTATACATTTATTCTTTCACTTTTCCCTTTACTCATTTGAAAATTGTCTTATATGTTTATTCTTTTAGTGGTTGCCCTAGGTGTTAAAGCTGTACATGTATACACAGTTAGAAGTCTTGTGTCTTTCCTGTGATTTGAAACTATCACTGTGTAGTAATTAACCCTTTTCTGTCTAGTTAATGCTTTGCTTCACAATTTATTTAGTTTGAATTAGTATGGACACACCATCTTTCTTCTAGTTAGTACTTGCTTGGCATACTTTATTCTCATGATTTTACTTTCAGTGTTTGTGTTCTTATATTATAAAGAACATTTACTTGGATTTAAAAAAATCTAATCTGGCAAAAAGAAAAGAAAGAAAAGTCATTAATTCAGTTTTCCCCACTCATCACAGTAATAAGCTTCAATAAGTTTGATAACCCACTGTGTGGTCAAGGCTGTGGGGAAACGATGTTCTCAGAGACAGCTGGTGGGTGTAAATTGGTTGATTCTCTCTGGAGGACGATTTGGCAATTCGTCACATGTCTTTTGTTCCAGCTATTCTGGCTGGGTATTGAACTTTTGGGTCTGCCAACCAAATGGGGAGAAGTGGCATTTTAATTTGTTTTTTCTTTAATTAAGAGTGAGAATGAATATTTTTTCACATGTTTGTTAGAAATTTCTGATTGTTGAATCCCTTGAACCAGCAGTATTACAGATTTTTCTTCAAAGGGATCGAGCTTCAGATTCTCTCAAATCTTGAGGGGGAAGAAATAATATTCAACAGATGGTGCTGGGCTAGTTTAATAGCTACTTGGAAGAAAATCAGTTTAAATTATTACACATCAAAATAAATTCAAAAAAATAATGATTAAATACTTTTTTCTAAAAATCATACCATTAGAAACTAACAAGTATTTAAAGTATTCAATATTTTTCTTCTGATCTCTGCATGGAGAATGACTTATCTTCCTAAAAAAAAACAACATAAAGGAAACCAGGAATCAAGAGGTCACCGGTTCGAATCCTGGTTAGGGCATGTGCCCAGGTTGAGGGCTCGATCCCCAGTGGGGGGCATGCAGGAGGCAGCCAATCAATGGTTCTCTCTCATCATTGATGTTTCTATGTCTCTCTCCCTCTCCCTTTCTCTCTGAAATCAGTAAGAAGATATTTAAAAAAGAAAAGAAAAGAAAAACTCGGTTGAGGATGGAAGTGACAGGTTGCAGCCTTGATCCAGGATCAGTTTTGCTGGGTAGATGAGATGGACCCAAAGCCATGTGATAGAGAGCCATGGGGTCTAGGCTGCGGGATGAGGGAATCCTGATGGGGCAGAATGGTGGGGTTATATTGCTATGCACCCACTGAAACTAAAGAGAAGGTGTGGGTTCTGAGAGGGCACCAGGGAGAGTCAGAGATCACGGTCAGCCCTGGAGGAACTTCAGTCCCTTAGGAGAAATAAGACCTGTGTCCAAGGAAACATATGCACAGGCAGCGTGATTCATGCCATTTGAATGGTGCCAGCGGATTGCTGTGTGGTGTGGGAGGGGGAGACTGGGCACTCTTAACTGTGGGATCAGCACCTGCCAGCTGCTTCCCATTCTCTCCTTTTCCTCTTCTGTAGCTGTGATTAATGCTAGAAATATCACTTGCAGTAAAGGGAGGCTAGAGATCCAATTATTTTCCAAGTAGCAAAACAAAAAGTTACCTTCCTTTGAAATTGTTACCTGGAAGATTAAGGGCCTAGAATTTTTTTACTTGAAGGAACTAAGAGATCTGTTTTAGTAATGTTTAAACTACCAGGTGTCTTGAAGTGGGAACGTACTCCATCCCCAACTATTTAGAAATATTGCTTTAGAATGAGACTGTGGCTAGGCTGACCTGGTCTTTTTCTGACACAGATGGTGTCTAATTGGGCAATAGGACAAATGACTTCTAATCTCAGCAAAGTTCCTGGGGAAGTGTCTGTGAGCTCTTTTGAAGGTTGGGGGAGTGGATAAGGTAGATTTTATTACCTGTGTTACAGATAAGACTCTAAAACTTACTCAGCAAGGGTTGTGTCATGTGTACATATATCTGTCTGCTATTCCATGGAACTCAGATGTGAGCAGGAGGTGCCTCAGTTCTTGACCATCATGCTGCACTGTCCTGACCCTTGAGAGAGCCTCCTCTAAACCAAGCCAGATGTAGGCTGAGACCCGTGTCACAGCTGCAGAAATGACACCTCCTCTACTGTCCAGACTGCTCAGTCAAATCCTAACATGTCTAGATGCCCAAGAGCCTCCTCTACTGTGACAAGTCTCCTAACCTGTAGAACAAAATGTCATTGTTCCCTGATATCCTAAGGTAAACTCGTGTGTGTTAAAACAACTATTGATAGCCGAAACCGGTTTGGCTCAGTGGATAGAGCGTCGGTGTGCAGAATGAAAGATCCCGGATTCGATTTCGGTCAAGGGCCTTGGTTGCAGGCACATCCCCAGTGGGGGGTGTGCAGGAGGCAGCTGATCGATAATTCTCTCTCATATATGTTTCTAACTCTCTATCCCTCTCTCTTCCTCTCTGTAAAAAAACAATAATATATATTTTTTTAAAACAAACAATTATTGATAGAGGCGAAAACTCATTACATGTGCTTTAAAATTTTTTTTTACATTTCCCCTTAGGAATATGAGAAAAATTCTTTGCCATATGGAATTTCTCATTACACCCAACTTGTGGTTTACCATATTTATTTTTTCTTAATTGTCTTGAAGATCAAGATGGGTGGCATGCAACTAGGGGAGTTACTAGTTGGCGTTAGATGAGTATGCCCAAAGCATGCACGCACATTAACAATCACACACCCTCATGGTGACCTCAGACATTAGGTGCTTCTGCAGCCCTCCACCTGCTCTGGAGTTTGACTTCCTAGCACATAAGCAGTCACTTCAGAAGGTGCATTGGCCTGTTGCTCTCAAGGATTAAATGGATGAGTAAAATTATTCTCCTCTACCATTCTACACTTAGAGCTTAATGGCATGTGGTTGAGGTTGATAACCTAATAAATAATCACTGCTTCATTAAGTAGAAACCACTGGTTTTTTTGTTTGGTTAAGTGTCACTATATTCTTTAGGACTTAGGAGAGGCTTGGATAGCTTTTTGGCTCCTCTTAGGATTTAAAGAAAGGACCTGCCACTTACATCGAAAACCACTGGTTTGAGCATTGTTAAATAAGTGACATTTTTAAAAGAAGTCTCCTACCCCCAACTGGTGTCGCTCAGTTGGTAGAAGCATTGTCCAGTAACCAAGGGGTGGTGGGTTTGATTCAATAATGTGTTTTCTGACATTTATTGTTTCTCATTGACATCTACTTCTGATACTAAATCCAGGAAATATCTGTCACACTTCCCTTAACCCTTGTCTCAGCTGGAGTTTGCCATGCCCTTTGGCTATCTTCATGATTTGAGATGTTCCCTGGATACTAGGTGTGGAGGAGTCCATTAGGATAAACTGTCCATTAACCCCCTCTCTCCTATCTCGTTCCTGTTGATCCCACACTTGCTTCCTACTACTACCCTCTCATCATGAAAGAAATGTTCAGCTGCTAACTATGGTCAGATTGAGAGGATGCTTTTAGTCTGGGGCCTTGGAGAAAGATGCCAAGCTGCAAAACAGATGGAGCACCTTTGCTTCACACATGAACCTTGGCCAGGACCTGGAAGAAGGGGACTGAAACCACATAGGAGGACAAGTGGCCTTTTTCTTTTGTTATTTTGGAGGTCTCTCCTGTATGTTGAAAGATAAATTGACCATTGCAGAAATCACTTTGGAGTTGACTTAAGAGAAGTACATACGTAAAACTGTTGCTTTTGATATCTACAAAGCAGAGTAGTGATTTAGGAAAAGTTTAGGTGTGGCAGACAGACTTGGGTTTGAATTGTCGTCTTCCACTTTCAGCCTTTGGCTGAGTGTCACCTTTCTCAGTCTGGGTCTGCAAGTGTCAGATGGTGATAGTCTTAAGAAGCTCAGAGACATCATAGACACCAGTGTGCCGACTCTTCTTCCCAAGGCAATGCTTAGCTCATTTGCTTGTGAGTCACTTTACTTAAACAGGAAATGGAAAGTATTCTTATGGTTTCTCACCACTGCAAAACTTTCTCTTTGTAGCTCTGGATTTACTGGACAAAATGTTGACCTTCAACCCTCACAAGAGGATTGAAGTAGAACAGGCACTAGCCCACCCGTATCTGGAGCAGTATTATGACCCGAGTGATGAGGTAAGCGCCTGTGCTCCTTGCTGCTTCTGCGGGGATAGAGATATATATATATATGTAAGCCAGCAGCAGGCCCAGCCAGGAGGGGCCCAGATGGCTTTTGTAGATTGTTCTTTTTATAGTATTATTAAAGTTTTGGAGTATTTCCTGCCCAGCTTACATTTCTGTATCTAAATTTTAAAAACAAAATAGAGTTTATTCTGTTTAACATAAACCTGGGTATTTTCCCATGATAGAGTAAAACCTCAAGATAAAGAATTAATTTGGGAGAGGGCATGTCAGTTAAAACTGAAAGTCCATCATGTAATAAAGTGGGTTTTCTGAATGCATATGTTAAAAAATTGACAAAATAGTTTACCTGTTTTTACTTATATAGACACATTTGTGTAATTAAAATAAGTATGTATGAAAAGCTTCATTTCACAGAAAAGTTTTCTATGTGTATTACAGTCATTTTAAATTTATACTGACTAGGTCTAGTAAATGTGTGCATTCACGGCTAGAGCCTGGCTAAGCACACTGTGGGACATCGGCAGACAGGCATTGCAACTGCTGCAAAATCACCCCACTCAACAACAAAGCCAATTACCTTTCGAGATGCAGTGTGATCACATACTAGTCACTCGCTGATCATTGTTTATGACCCATGACGCTCCCATTTAAATATGTAAACTATAGTTACAGATACGTAATGTTCACATGGGTGAAATTATTGCAGCGTTTTTTTCCCACCATATGGCCTCTTGGCTAAAGTTTGTTAAAAATAACTGAGTTAATAAGAAAATAACCTATTAATTTAATTATGAGCAAATATTGGTTAAAAGCATTTTAAAATTAACAGGACATTCATTTTCACATATGACGTACAAACTGGAAACTTTGTCCGTTAAATCGAAAGTTCATCGTTATATCAAGGTCTGCAAAATCAAGGGTTTACTGCAGAATATTTCTTGCAGCTACATTTTATATATATATATATATATATTTTTTTTTTAATTGATTTCAGAAAGGAAGGGAGAGGGAGAGGGAGAGGGAGAGGGAAAGGAAGAGAGAGAGAGAGAGGGAGGGAGGGAGAAAGAGAGAAATATCAATGATGAAAGAGAATCTTGATCGGCTGCTTCTTACAAGCCTCCTACTGAGGATCAAGCCCACAACCTGGTTATGTACCCTTGACCGGAATTGAACCTGGGATCTTTCCCCCCACAAACCGATGCTCTATCCACTGAGTGAAACCAACTAGGGCTGTAACTTTATTTTTAACACTCCATAATATTTCTTCATATAAATATACTATAATGTATTTAATCAAATACATCTATTTGAGTATCTTGGGTTTTGATTGTATAAACATACCATCACCTTCACCCCTGTAAGTTTCTGTGATTCTTAACTTTCATTGCCTTAAAACATTTGAAAATTATTCTGGGATAAATTCAGATGGATATTCGTAATGAATTCAGTTGCTCCCTGTTCCTTTATTAAGTGCACATAGGAAGTGCACTTTGAGACATATGGGGCACAAGTACATAGATACTTACCATAGCTCTTGTTCTTTAGTAGATGTCAGTCTTGTGTAAGTTTCAGAGACTCCAAACCATGACAGCTGTTGTCTTACTAAATATTTTGTTTTCTCTTAAAGCCCATCGCTGAAGCACCATTCAAGTTTGACATGGAATTGGATGACTTGCCTAAGGAGAAGCTCAAAGAACTCATTTTTGAAGAGACTGCTAGATTCCAGCCTGGATATAGATCTTAAATTTGTCAGGTACCTGGAGCTTTGACCATACAATAAGCCCTAGAGAGGGAAAGAGAATATAAATTAAAAGTTATCTGAAAGAAAGTAGGATCTCTGTAGACCTGCATGGAAGCTTCATGAGTTTAGATTATAAGATATGGTGGACAATACAGTGATATTGGTAGATTTTTAAAAAGCACGTGCTCAAAAAAAGGAAATGCAAATCTTGATTTTAGAGAATGTGTGGAAGAAGAAGAATAGGGCTTGTATTAGAACCCTGTAGAAGTGAATGGTGAAATAAAGAATTACAACCAAGGGTTGAAGCATTTACTGTGGAAATGCTTTGGACAGACTTGCATGGAGAGGCTGGACGTGTCCTTTGGCAAGCAGCAGTATCATGTGCAGCGTGCAGTGGCCCAGGGGGTGCTCTGCTTGTGTTAGAGTAGGAAGCCACCTGGTGGCATTATGGACGAGCAGATTCTGCAAGTGGTAGAACTTTGGGGGCTTCTCACCTGGGTCTGTATTGCATTCTCTCATGCCTTTTATTTCATACTAGAGGCTCTGATGCTCAAAATTCAAGTAAGAGTAGACCTTCCTTCCCCCAGCTGCCTGCACCAGCTTCCCTCTGTGGCACCCGGGATCTGAGCTTCCCTCTTGGCCCCGGCTTTGTCCGGAAGGACGTCTGGTCTAATTAGCATATTATGCTTTTATTATTATAGATTATTATAGATATTGAGGTCTGAGGACAATGGCCAAGGATTTCAGCGGCACTGTTTTCACTTCTCCCAAAGAAGGTACAAAACTAAGAGAAACTTAGGGGTGAAATTAATTCATTACATACGATGGCTGCTTTAAGCAGTGATTCTCAGAAGTGTGGTCTATGTCCGTCCGTCCCCCGTCCCTCCTGCAATCTGTGTTTTAATATGTCCTCCAGAGGATTCTAACACTCATGGTTGAGAAACACTAGCCTGTAAGTGGTCAGAGTAGATTTGACCCATTTGTGATTCTTCACTTTCAATGCCTTAAAACATTTGAAAAGTATTCTGGGTTAAGTGTAGATGGATACTCGTGATGAATTCATTGCTCCCTGTTCGTTGAAGTGCCCTTTGAGAAATATAATTCCTCCAAGTGAAATAGAGACATTGGGATAAAGGAGGGGAAATGTGCTCCTTGTACTTGTGGAGTGACCCATTTGCAAACAACTGGAGAGCCAGGGAACCCTGTCACGTACAGAAAATGAGGGAAGGCTGTCAGCAAGTTGCTACCAGCTGCCTTTCAGAGTGCTCTCAGAGGTCAGCTCCCCTTGAGCTGGATGATGAGAACCCACTCCTGCCCGTGGGAACTAAGCCACAGCTCCCTGCTCTGCAGAATCGGGCCGCCATCCTCTTCCAGCCAGCACTTTGTTTGGCCTCTCTGCGCCATAGTCAGAGCATTAGTAACAACATGCTTCCTGCCGCCTGGGTAGTTGGCTCTGTCCTACCTGGCCATCCAGAGAGAAAGAGACTTGGTGAGGAGAGGGGGAGGGAGAAGAGTTTTTTTTACAAAGACCCTCAGACTCTGATTTTGATCATTATCGCGGTGGGTTAATAAAAGGCATCTTGCCGAAATGGGTTTGGCTCAATGGATAGAGTGTTGGCCTGTGTACTGAAAGGTCCCGGGTTTGATTCCGGTCAAGGGCATGTACCTTGGTTGCGGGCACATCCCCAGTAGGGGGTGTACAAGAGGCAGCTGATCCATGATTCTCTCTCATTGGTATTGGGGTTGTACAAGAGGCAGCTGATCATGATTCTCTCTCATTGATGTTTCTGTCCCTCTCACTTCCTCTCTGTAAAAAAAAATAAAATATATTTTTAATAAATAAACAAATAAAAGTAAAAGGTATCTTGAGTCTGGTGAAGCCCCCAGCCTGTGAGCAGTTGTGTGTGTATCCGTGCGTCCCCATCGGAAGAGAGGTGCCTTCGAAGACAGCCCCCCGCCCTTCAAAGCTGCCTTGCTTCACATGCCCAAGTATTCCAAGCGAAAAGACCTTTTTGTAGATTTTTTCTTTTTCAGTTTTTGTTTTTCATGATGTTGCTGTTGATAATGTTTTAATATGGCTTTTTCTTTTCATTCTAACACTTCTAATGCTGCTGCTGATGTTTTAATGAGATTCATCTTTTTTTTTTTTTATCCTTACCTGAGGAGATATTTTTTTCATTGATTTCTAGAGAGAGTGGGAGGGATGAAGGCATGGAGGAAGGGGAGAGAGAAACATCATCTGAGAGAGACACATCAATTGGTTGTCTCCCAAATGTGCCCAGACCGGGGCTGGAGATCAAACCTGCTGCTGAGGTACATGCCCTTGACCAGGAATTGAACCTGAAACCCTTCTATGTTTGGGCTGACGCTCTCACTACTGAGCCACACCGGCCAGGGCAAATGTGATGTGTTTTTTAACTGGGGTTTGTTTGTTTGTTTTTCGATAGGACAAGGGATCAGAGGACTGGATGTGCTCAGACATCGGTGTTCTTCCCAGTTCTTGACCCTGGTCCTGTCTTCAGCCCGTCTCGGCTTATCCACCTTGACTCCTTTGAGCCATTCGGAGGAGCGGTTTCTGGTAGTTGTGGCTTTTATGCTTTCAAAGAATTCCTTCAGTCCAGAGAACTGTTCCTGGTACCCCTGTGTGTGTCACCCACCGGTGACCTGTGGCAGTATGTACTCAGTGCACCTGCTGCTTACCGTTCTTTAGTCACTAATCACTTTCTGGTTTGAAAGATGCAGTGGCTCCTCCCTCTGCTGAATCCTTTCTCACACGACGCCCTGCTGACCGGAGAGTTTTTTCTGAGTTGGCTCTCGTCACTGGTGTCTCACTTTTGATAGGGAAGGCTACCACCTAGGGCACTTTAAGTCAGTGACAGCCCCTATTTGCACTTCACCTTTCACCGTGATGTTTCCCCAGAGCAGGGACTCGTGGAAACGCCTGGGGTGACGTTGCCGCCCGCAGCAAGCGCTCCTATCCCGGGAGTCTTTGGGGGCACTTGTCAGCATCCTTTCTCCTATCATGTTAGTCACTAACATTAAGGTATGTGCTATCTGCCCAGCTTTTAGAAAACCGAGTACATTTTTCTAAATAAGAGGAATGTACTGCATTCAGCAGGTTTACTCTGCAGATTTACTGTGGTTACTTGTACAGTTTATAGAGGTATAACACTTGCCAAAATGTGTTATATGCGGAACAGAGTGTTTGCAAGACTTATGCAAAAACCTTTAAAGTGGCAGCTTCACTCTGGATTTAGTGAGAGATGTACAAAGGCCACAGCAGGGTGCTGAGGAAAGGCCCTGGAGAAGTAGCCAGTAGGCTGCCTGCCGTCACCGGGGCCGCCCAGGTATGCATACCCCAAGCTGCTTCACATGGTGTGCCACCTTCGATGCCTGAGGATTTAGCAGAGGGTAAACACTGCGTCTTTAAATGAGAAAGTATACAATTTTTTCCTCCTACAGCATGTCAGCATTTCAAGTTCATTTTCAGCCCACAATGTAACAGTTTGTAACAGAGCCTTCATGAGCTCACGACAGGAAGCACTGTTCTGTCTCAAGTACCAAGTACTCTCAGCCGTTTCTGATGATGCTGAGCTAAGACCATCAGAGAAAGCTAGCGCTAAGTCACGTTTGGAGCGCAATCCCATATTTTCCTGATCTCTTAAGTATTTGTTCCTGCCACTGTACACTGTGGCATTGACCTGGTGTTCTATCCCCGTGCGGTGCCTCCTCTTGACTCCCCCACTGCTCTCTGTGGTGAGATATTTGCCTTGTTCAATAATTACTGTACCCTCGCATGACTGTTACAGCTTTCTGTGCAGAGATGACTGTCCAAGTGCCACATGCCTATGATTGAAATGAAAAATCTATTGTTACCTCTGAGTTGTGTTCCACGGAAAATGCTATTCAGCAGATCACTTAGGAATAATTCTATTTTTAGCTTTTCATTTCTCAGCTGTCCTTTATTTCTTGTTTGATTTTTGACAGCAATGGAAAATGGGTTTTATGAAGATTGCCTGCTAATATGAAAAGAAATGCACTTGTAACTCATGGAAATAAATGTACATCTTCTATCTTCATATTCATGTAAGATTCAGTGTTGATTTCCTCTGGATCAGCATGTCCGAGGGGACAGTCAGTTCAGTTTGTGCTCAGAACAGAAATGCCTACAGGCCTCACTTTCCACTGGGCACTGCCCAACACTTTGGTTTACATGAAATGACTTAGAAAGCATTTCCCCCCTATTTTTCCTACTTGCACGGTAGAGAAACAAATTCTGACCTATTGCTTTATTCAAATCATAGGTCTAAAATAATCTCAAACTCTGATGAAGAAGTCCCAACGTCTCAGGTTGGATTCTCTGGTTCTTTCTAAAGAGGGCTTGCCTGTGTGCCCCACGGCTGCTTCCAGGCACAGCTGAGCCCTGGGAAAGGCTGCTCAGCATCCCTCGCTCCCCACCTGCCCAGGGTCCCGAGCTCACACCTCCTGGGCTAGCGAAGGATGGCTGACTCATCCTCAGTCATTGGAACTACATCTAGAGTCTTTCCCTAAAATGCATGATCTTCAGCTCCACGCTCAGAGCTGCATGTCAAGGTCCACACAGCTTCGACAGGATATAGGTGTGATTGTTACTTGATATGTTAGTAAGTCAGTTTTCATTTTAAAAGGAGCATTGACAGTTTTATTACTCGTGTTTCTGTGGACTCTAAGTGGAATGTTGGAAGTATGATGTTAATCTGCAGTCCTCCAAATAGAAAGCCATAGTCTTGGTTACTAATCCCTGGAATGGGGCTCTCCCCATCTCTGCTGGAGTCAGATTGCCTGAAACCACTAATTGCGTTCTAGAATCACTGCAGCCATATGTTGTGTGCTTTTAATTAATCATGCCAAACTTGGTTTAATAGTTCAGAGAATTATCATAATTATCATAAGGTACCTGGGAAAGGTACTAGCTGTTATGTGCGATAGACTCAACATTTGGATCTTCTTGCATCTCTAAAAAT